GGTGGGGGGGGGGGGGTGGGCTTGGGATCACCACTACTAGGAATAAAAGCTCTTTGCCATTTAGCAAGAGAAAAATGAGCTTTCTTCAACCCTCAGTGTCCAAAAGGGCCTGTAATACCAGGATTTTTTTGCAGTGTTGACAGCTCATTAAAGCTTTAGGTGAGGAGGGAGAGAAAGAAAGGAGTGTGATATGGGCATGAAACTCAGCTCTCTACAGCATGTGACTGGTTTTGCTTTGTAATATTGCCCAGGTATGATAGGCAGAAAGAGGAATAACTTTTTTTGCCCCGCTCAATAAAGTTGTAATTCTTCCAGTCTCAATTGTTGCATCTTACGCAGTAGCATATGTGGAGCTAAAATTTTTGTTCGTCCCCTTGTTTGCAGAGAGGCAGAGATGAGACTGATGAAATATTTGACCTTTCTTGGAATCTTTAATAGAGGAAAGAACGCAGAAAAGCTTATGATGCTTAGTGAAGAAACTTTGCTAAATCTATATGCTAAGGCATGGCATGGAGATAATTTCCAAGTGATGGAAAAGTTTTTGTTTAAAGGAGTAGCACACAAAAATTCGAAGTGGTTTCCTAAAACTGCAAATCATGCTTCAGTGATTACATCCTGCTATCTCTAAGTGCCGACAGAAGAGACAAGTGGTACAGAGCATGTCATTATCTCAGTCTAAACGAAGGCCCTTGCTTTCCTTGAACTAATTTCAGCTCTAAACAGCTTCACATAATTTAAAAGAACATAGGAAGGGATGCACCAATTCTGATTCAAGGTCTAGTCCATCTAGCATAGATTGCTGTCTTCAACAGCATCCATAAGCAGATGCTTAGGAAGAGAAGGAATAGGGCAAGCATCCTCACCTTCCCTTCCCTCCCACCCCTGCCAAAAAAAAAAAAAAAATCTGTTTTCAACTATTTTCTGCTCACATGTTGTTCTGAATGTGGTGTAATTTGATTTAATAAGCCCTACTGTCGCTCTCTTCCAAGTACCTATGCAGTCTCCCCTTGAGGCCCTCTGAATATTGTGTATCTATAACAACTTTCAGCAAGGAGTTTCATAAAGCTACTATTCATGTATCAAGAATATATCTTTTGTTTGTTTTGAACATCGATAAAAATTGTGTCACACTGTGGTTGGCTGGACTACTATGTCTGAATTCTGACATAAAGCTTTTGAAAAATATTACCTGTGCATAACCTGTAGTGGTAGCTGCAGCCAGTCTTGGTTTAAAACCATTATTTGTTTTTGTAAAAGACCTTCCCCCACACACACCTTGCAGGCACTAGGCATTACAGTTTAATGTATTGTTCATGGCTGCTTTAACAAAGTTCAAACATTCTTTGTTTAGAACTAATTCAAATCACTGTTCTAAAAATTCTGTGTTTCTATTTACAGTGTCTGAGCAACACACCTCCTCTTACAGAATACTTCCTCAATGATAAATACCAAGAAGAGCTGAATTTTGACAATCCTCTAGGAATGCGAGGTGAAATAGCAAAATCTTATGCAGAGCTTATCAAGCAAATGTGGTCAGGAAAATACAGCTATGTGACCCCAAGAGCATTTAAGGTCAGTAGGGAATTTAACCTGAATGTACATTGTCAGTTTTGATTTTGTAGTTTAAGTATACAAAACTTAAGGAAATATGCAAGAATAAGAATTTGAAGTAATATTCATCAGTATGCAGTCCATTCACTTAACTGTTAAAACACTTGGATGTATATTTAAATAAGCGTCAACTGTCCCTGTGCTTTGGTCTTTGAGAATTAGTTTTGGCTTCCTGTCTGCATTGAAAAGTTTATCTTTTATAACTTTACAAGTTTTACCTTTTCAACTTCCTGTTGTAGCACCTCAGAAGTATCTATTCTTTATAACAATTAAGGTACCAGAAGTATTTGTATTTTTTTTTTTTTTAGACACAAGTGGGACGATTTGCACCACAATTTTCTGGTTATCAACAACAAGATTGTCAAGAGCTACTGGCTTTTCTCTTGGATGGATTACATGAGGATTTGAATCGAATTAGGAAAAAGCCTTACATTCAGTTAAAGGATGCAGACGGGAGACCAGACAAGGTAGTGTTTTTGGTGTTGATCTTCATTTTCGTCAAGGCTATACGTTGCAAGACACTTCTACATGATTGTGCACTGAAAGGTTGAGACGCTGATCACGTGTTGCTTTTTCTGGAAGAGATTTCAGAAAATAAGCCAAGACCTTAAAATGGAGATCTTGTTCAAGTACTTGTGTAAATTCGTGTTTATTTGGAAGATAATTGGGGGTGGGGGGGTGTTAAGGCTTTGTTAAGACCTTTTTGTTCGATTCAGTGCGGAGTTCAGTTGGAAAAACAGTTTCCATTCTGTTGTTCTTTTATTCTTATATCTAAAGTATGCGGCGTTCTGTCTCTCTCCAGTACTCTTACGTTAGGGAAACTCTTCTAGCATTGAGCTGCAAGCATATAGATAATTTCTTTTGTTATGAGTATGAGTTACTTCAGATAGAATTTTTAGTCTTATTTGCTTTTGTCTTGCCCCAAGCCACTTGAAGTCTTTCTCAGAATACATAATACCATTGACAGAATCTCTGTCCTAGGAAAAGCATACATCTTTGAACCTGTGATCCTGATAGTAGTAACATATCTTACAGGGTCTTTTGGAGTGAGATTTCTATGTTTAGGTGGTAACTGAGAGTGTTCTATCAAGTGTGCTCTTACTAATAATTCTCACTATTCATTTCCTACTACTTTGTCATAACCCAGGTCATGCTTTAATTACAGGTGGTTGCTGAAGAAGCCTGGGAAAACCATTTAAAAAGAAATGATTCCATCATTGTAGATATATTTCATGGCCTTTTTAAATCCACCCTAGTTTGTCCTGAATGTGCTAAGATATCTGTAACCTTTGATCCCTTTTGTTACTTGACACTTCCATTACCCATGAAAAAAGAACGCACTTTGGAAGTTTATTTAGTTAGAATGGATCCACTTGCAAAGCCTATGCAGGTAAGCCTCTTAGTTTATGTACAAAACTCCTGATTCACGTGGCATTAACAATGAACCCGAGTTCCTTTACATTTTTTAAATTTATAAGTAGAGTAAGCAAATCAACAAGCTTTTTTTCTGGTATGTGTTCTGAAGTCCCACTTAGAAAGCCTGAGGGAGACTATACATACCTTTTTATATTTCTATCAGTTTCAAGGAAGATACTGGAAATTTCTTTATGATTGTGTTAATAAGGCTTCTTAATCTTTAAAATGTATGCTGTCCTCATTTTTTATTTTAGTGTTGCTATAATGAATTTGTATGGTTATTAAAAAAATATTTATACACTTAATCCAGACTTAATTCCTCAGTTTCTTAACCTCAAAAGGCAAATATTGGTAATGAGTGGTGCAAAAAACCCCATGACTAAATATATTAGGTAGTCCTGAATTCTTCTATGCTATCACTTAATAGTCAAAAGAAAAAATTTCAGATGAGATTTCTTTGTAAAGAGTATCTCTTTTGCCTTTTTCTAGGAAGGATGGTATTATACAACTTAGAATGGCATGAAACAATGTACATAGGTTATGGTAACAAAATCATGATTAAATGGTTCTAGCTGTAGCTGAATGGGGTAAGCGAGGATGGGTGAAATAAATAAGACACGGGCAGTTAGGCAGACTTGCAAAAAGGCTTTAACACCTGAAATCAGAGAACTGTAAGAAGGAAAGGGGGCGGGGGGGGGGGAAGGGAGTGTTCTCAAAGGCAGTATGAATTGGGGAAGTCAAAGATAAAGGGACATGTATTAACTAGTGGGAGATGAGCCTGCTAGAAATTTAATTATTTGTGAGAACACATTTGCACAAGGGACACACAGTAGTTGAAAATGACCCTGTATGACATGTGAGATGGTTCTGCAGGAATGAATAGAGTTTGGGAAGAGTACAAGTTCAGTAGAGCTTTTGTGCTCTATAATAACTATAAGACTTAAGGAGATACCAAACACATGCTGTACCTGGCAATTAATTACAAAGTTATAAAACCTTATTTCTAATTAATCCTGTCTTTATTTATTATGCAAATAACAGGTAAGAGTCCTGTGTGGAGTTTCATTACAAGCTGCAGGTGTACTGCACTAAGGGAAGACACAGAGAGGTTTTCTTTGACTGTTAATCATGAGGTTCTCTCTCTGCATGTGAAATTAGAATTCAGTCTTTATCCATTGCCTGCCATTGCTTTCTTTCCCAGTAATATTTTATAAACAACTTGTGTTGTATTCCAAACTTAAGAATCTAGTCAACAGCATGCATACTGTTTAAATCCTTAAATAAGTAGGTGCTGTTGAAATATAAGTAATTGGTGCTGTTAGTCATCTTATGGAGAAAGCAAAATAACATAAAAAAGCATTATATAAACTAATAAATGTAGTATTCAAAGTGTGTGTGTATGAGTAAAGTTGTGAAGGTAACTGCTATGTTTTCAGCAGCTTTTGGAATTTGTGTTAGCTGATTTACATACTTTACACCTTAAGTTCAAGAATCTGAAAGAAGTACATGAAGTGTGCTGCACATGTGATAAGTTGTTTGGTTTTCTCCTCATGCATATTTGTTCTCTTAAAAAATTAAAGTGACGTTTTATTTTTTTAGTACAAAGTAGTTGTTCCCAAAATTGGAAATATATTGGACCTTTGCACAGCATTGTCGGCTTTGTCTGGTGTTGCTGCAGATAAGGTAAGAGTGATTTCTTATGTGAAGCACAACAATGAACATTCTAACACGTATTAACCTGATTTAATGATGTGTATACTCCGTTTTCTTTTTAGATGATTGTTACTGATATATACAATCACAGGTTCCACAGGATATTTGGTATGGATGAAAATCTAAGTAGTATTATGGAACGTGATGACATTTATGTGTAAGTACAGATAACATTCTTCAGGTCTCTTTCAGTTTGTTTAGTTATTTGCAAAAGATTAAAACTTTGACATAAGATAAAGACAAATCTTGGGGGTTTTGTTATTTTTTATTTTTTCCCCTTTGTACCCTTTTAAATGACAGTTGTTCTTTGTATTTCTGATTGTTGTTCTTTTAGATTTGAAATTGCTATCAATAGAACAGAAGATACAGAACAAGTTATAATTCCTGTTTGTTTAAGGGAAAAGTGCAGGCACACTAGTTACAGCCATAGTGGTTCTTCACTGTTTGGTCAACCTTTTCTCATAGCAGTGCCTAGAAACAATACTGAAGATAAGCTGTATAACCTGCTGCTGCTAAGAATGTGGTAAGGTTATTGTTTAAAGAAAAATGTGTTTGTTATGAATAATGCTAATAGTTGAAATCAGTGGGCACTTATTTTTACATGCATTGCTAACAAAAGGATTAGATTTGAGTACTTAGTCTTTTATTTGCTTTCTGTTAAATATGTTAAATCTGAAATTTTAGCCACTTGGGATGTGAATTAGTGTGGATTTTAATTTGATTTTTTGTTAGCATGACCTCATCCAAAAATTATTTGAGAAGACAGTAGAGAGTCAACCTGTATTGTCATCTTAGGGGAATTAATTCTGCTGTATAAATAGCTGTTTGTTAGGGCTTGGTGAAATGGAAATGTTTTGCCAATTATTCTGCTATGGTTATACCTCCTGTATCTACTATACAAGTTTATATACTAATTTATGTTGTAAAACTACGTGGTAGACGCTTTCTGAAACTAGACTGGAATAAGTGTCATGATGTGGAAGAAATCAGAATCATACCACCTCCAATTTAAATTTATGCTTCATTTTCTGTTGATGTAACTCTCTGTAAGTGAAACCATATTTTTTTTGTGTGTAAAAAAATATGGTTAATGAACAGTTAAAGAAGTGATTTCTGGACAAACAGAGACTAATACCAAGAATCAAGTTGTATAAAATGAAGTATCTGCCAAAAATATAAGATCATAGACAAGCAGAATTTCATATGTGCCTGTAACACTAGACATGTTAGGCAATAAAGCTATTAATTCTGAATAAATCAGAAAGGGGTGCAGGAATACAGTACACTAGAAAAGATTTGCTGTAACCATTTAATTATCTGGCTTGAACAATGTAAATATTTAAAAATCCATTGATTCTAACTGTTGCTTTCATTTGTTATATTTAGCCGATACGTAAAAACATGTACTGAAAGTGAAGACACTGAAGGATCCCTACATTGCTGTAAGGACCATGGTATCAATGGTAATGGCCCAAATGGAATACATGAAGAAGGATCTCCAAGTAAGACTGGAATATCTAAACTTGTTTAGTATTTTGTGTTTAATTTGGAACTGAAGTTAATTCTTTAGTGTCTTTCAATTATTGTTATTCTACCTCATTTCTTCCTCCTTATTCTTCCGATTGTTTCAGGTGAAATGGAAACAGATGAACAAGATGATGAATCCAGCCAGGATCAGGAACTTCCTTCAGAGAATGAAAACAGCCAGTCAGAAGACTCAGTTGGAGGTGACAATGACTCTGAAAATGGATTATGTACTGAGGATACTTGCAAAGGTCAACCACTCACGGGACACAAAAAGCGATTGTTTACATTCCAGTTCAATAATTTAGGCAATACTGACATAAACTACATCAAAGATGATACCAGGCATATTAGATTTGATGATAGGCAACCTAGGCTTGATGGTAAGTCATGGGGAACAGGTTGGGCAACCTTTGATTCTAATACTTTTTTCTGACTCCACTTCCATAGAAGAGTGTTTTATTCTCTCTGTGTGCTATTTGATATATCTTTTCCAACAATAAATTCTGTAAATTAACTCGTTATTGTAATTAACTCTTAGAAATGCAGAAATTGTGTGTGCTTCAATTTGTCATGTTAAATTCATGCTAGCATTGTTTAATTAATTTTGAAGAGTGTTTGCCCAAAGTTAATACAATTTCATGTAAAGCAAGAAATAATATTAAGAGAAAACATGTTTTTAATCTTAGAAAGATCTTTCCTTGCTTTGGATTGGGATCCTGAATTGAAGAAGAGATATTTTGATGATAGTGCAGCAGAGGTAAGCTGTTCATGTTGCTCCCCTTTCCAACACTAATAAAACTTAAATGTGAAAAATACAACTTAATTAACGTGACATAAGAGATTGTAAGTCTTCAAAAGAAGAAGCTAGTATATCTTTTTTCCACATTATTCCTAGTAAATATGTTGTTGTAAATAAACTTCATTTACACATCTAAGTAATTGGCAAATCTGAGGCTTACTAATTTGGAAGTAAATCTGAAGCTGTGAAAACTTTTTGCTTGAATGGTTTCTGCTCAGTTTTTCCATATATAGGAGCTTTGTAGTTACTGTTTATAGTAAGACGACATCACTAAAATGAGTTTTGTTTCATTTGTTCTCTTAACTCAAGAAATACTTCTCTTTAGGATTTTGAAAAACATGAAAGTGTGGAATATAAGCCTCCCAAAAAGCCTTTTGTGAAATTAAAAGATTGCATTGAGCTGTTCACAACAAAGGAAAAACTAGGTGCTGAAGACCCATGGTAAGGACAAAAAATTAAAATGGTTACGTTCTGTGGTGTATTTCTCAAAATGTAATCAAAAACACACGTCAACATTAACAGAGATACCTAACTGATTTCTTAATGGTATTTTAAATCTTGTCATTTCAAGCGTAGTTGAAAATTCTCAAAATGTTTTCTATTTTGATCCATTGCTTAACTAAAATTGTTACCATATACAGACGGTTATGTTTGTATAGGAGACAATTAATGCATTCAGAAGTAGGAGGAAGGGTAAATCTATACGATATTCTAGTCTGTGAACTGTGATCCACAGTGAATGAGTAATACTGTGCCAAATCCAAGGCAGTGGTTTAAACAAATACTCCTTTCTGAGATGAGAAAGGTTGGTGCATACTGAAGTTTTTTTATGCAAATACATAACTTGCCTTGCATTGATATATGAAATAGGGATGTGCTTAAACGACAGGTTTGTGGGATGGGAGATGTCTGTAGTCAGTAGAATCTCTCAAATTCATGTTCCAACCATTAAGTTTTTGGCAGAAGCTTTTATTCTGATTCATGGTTCTTCCAAATTATGATTTGGAATCCTATCTGAATATTCACAATTATGGGATGTTCCTGTAAGATCCTTCTTCTCCAGGAATCTTCTAGCAGATAAGAATCCTTCATCAACACCTGAAGCTCAGAATTAAGTTTGGAGAGAGGGTCTCCCACTTCTTCTTTTGTGGATACTTACAAGTTTTGGAGACTTTCAAATTTTGTCACCAGAGATCCTCCTTTATTTGGGCAGGGGAGGGGGCTGACTTACAAATTCTCATTTTTTTTTCTGGGTTGGCTAGTTTATACAACACTGGAAAGACTATTTGAGATACCGTATAACTCAAGTATGGTGAAGCGCTTCCATTTTTACAGCACATTTTAAGCAGAGTATTTAAACTACAAAATACAACTACTGCTGAAGTCGGGCAGTTGCTACTAGATACAGCTCACCAGAGGTCATTAATCACATTCTTTCTTCATTTGTCAGGTCTTCACAGGTCTAATCGACGAGAGCTCATCATCCCTAATCCAGTGCTATTTGTATTCCAAGTATTCTAAGCCAACTGGGAAAACAGTTCTTCAATTACAGCCTGCCCTTAGTTTTCCTAATTTCTTGTCTTTATCTGATGTTGCTATGTAAAGACACTTGTGCAGTCTTTTTTAATTAGGGCTTGTCTCTTCCCCCCCGCCCCCAGATCTTTACTTGTTAGATACCAAGTTGTAGAATATGCGTAGACCACTTCACAGAAGAGTTGCTTCCATGCATTGTTCTTACTTACCTTCCTCCCTGAGCCTTAGTTCTTGAAAGATTCAAGTATGCATTGCAGGGAACAGAAATTTATAAGTCACAGCCTCTTTAGTACTTGCCTACTAAGGAGACAAGTTTTTTTAGTAAGGAGTTTTTTCAGGTTCCAGTAGTCACTGTTATCTGGTTTTAGTGGTGGGTGGGATGGGGTGGGAGATGGATGAATTCGGAAATTGAAACGTGGAAGAACCACAGTTGTCTGTTACTTATGGCTTTTCATATAGTCAGTTTTCCTGAAGTATTTTCATAACCCTTCATCTTTTTTTATAAAATATGAGAAAGCTGTGTTTTAACTAAAGATACAGGAACTACTATAGGAGATGAGAATCCTGTATTGGGGGGTGCTACTTTTGTGTTTAAAATGCTGTCGAGCTTCACTGTGGGCATGCTTGCACACTAGCACCTCACGTTTTAAACCAGAAGCGGTATCGACAGCATTAGTAACAGAAGGTGGAACATGTGTGTGTTTCAGCTTTTGCTCATTCAGTTCCTCCCATGTTACTGGCTTTCTCTATGGTAATGTATTTTAACATACATATGGACTGCAGTTATTTAAATTTTTTTTTTTTCTTTTAGGTATTGTCCAAACTGTAAAGAACATCAGCAAGCTACCAAGAAGTTAGACTTGTGGTCACTGCCCCCTGTACTGGTAGTTCATCTAAAGCGCTTTTCCTACAGCAGATATATGAGGGACAAGTTGGATACATTGGTTGACTTTCCAATAAAGTAAGAAACCTAAATATTTTGGTGCTGGAAGTGTAAAAGTTAGCATGACTAGGGCACATGTTTAATCCAGCAATTTTGTAAAATGCTTTTGTTCTCAGCTTCCATGCATGGATCCAGTAAACACTGATGACAAAATGCTTGTAGATGAAAAGTATGAACTTGGAAAAATAATAATAGTAGATAAGTATGGAAGAACTCTATCAATAGTTTTGGCTAAGATTACTGGTTCCTGTTCCACTCCTCACAGAGCGAAAGAGGTGCACTGTCAGTGTAGTCTGGTGTATGTGTTTTTTGTGGGGAATATAAAGTAAAGGGATCAAAGACCACCAAAATGTGAAATGGTTAAAAATATTATTAACATGACCTTCTTTTGGTTGTTTTTTTTTCCTTTTTTTTTTTTTTTTTCCTTTAAACAGCGACTTGGACATGTCAGAGTTCCTTATTAATCCCAATGCAGGGCCTTGCCGCTACAACTTGATTGCTGTCTCCAACCACTATGGAGGAATGGGAGGAGGGCATTGTAAGTTGATTTCAAATATCTACGTCAGCTTTCTTTCCATGTTTATTTTGATTTAAGTACTGATCACTTTGAATCAATGGCATTTTTTAATGATTGAGGGGCAATTTTTTTCATTACTTGAAATGCTTTCACAAGTATTCTAACATAAAAATCTATATGAAATGAGCTTTCAAGGATAACTGTAGGTTCTTATACTTCTAGCTATGCATGTTGTGAAAAGAGAAAATGTAAGAGCTCCTAAGAGCTACCGCGCTCTTACAACTGATTTTGTCTTACTTGTCTGTATTTTTGTACGTTGTGCATCTCCTGAAAGAAGAGAGAAAAATGAAAAAGCAATTGAGGGATTTTATTTTGACTGTCCTTTCTCACTATACATTCTCTTTAGAAGGGGAATGTTATTGGTTAAGCTTTCTTTGCTTAAAAAAAAAGTGTGTAAGTATGAATCTAATAGTGATAATAGGTTTTAGTTAGTTAAATGTCAAGTGTTTGACAGTAACAGACTCTAGCAACTGATTGTATTACATCTGTGAAGATACAAAGTCCCTAGATGCTGTACTTTTTTCTCCTAGATACTGCTTTTGCAAATAATAAGGATGATGGAAAATGGTACTACTTTGATGACAGTAGTGTGTCCACCGCATGTGAGGACCAAATAGTGGCAAGTACCTTTTGTTTTTCTAAAATTAGGACTGTTGATGTTTTCTTCTTGAGGGAAGAAAAATGAAGAGTAAATAACGAACCTTGCCGTAAATTTGTAGGTAGTAGTTTGTGTTCTTTCAAAGGACAGTACAAAGCAAAAATGGTTTGCTGCGACAGGCAAAAATAACTTAGATGAAAGCTTTGGATTTCTTTGTAATTTTACCTTGTAGACTTGGAAGCAAAAAAAAAAAGGGTAACTTGGATTGTGAATGTTTTGTCTGGAGCCTCACAAGCATATTACGTTTCTCTCTTTTACAGTCCAAAGCAGCGTATGTGCTCTTCTACCAGAGACAGGACACGATCAGTGGAACTGGCTTTTTCCCTCTTGACCGGGAAACTAAACAAGGTGCTTCAGCTGCCACAGGCATCCCACTAGAAAGTGATGAAGACAGCAATGAAAATGATAATGATATAGAAAATGAAAATTGTATGCACACTAACTAATGGAAGAACTAGAAGCCATAAAAGAGACTTTGTTACTGGGGATACCTATTGAAAGAGTGAAATTGCCCACCAAATTAAGAATAAAAATCTGAGATGGGGAATTTCAGATAACAGAATGTAAATCTTTATTACATTTTAACATGTGCAGTACTTGAAGTGAAACAATAAAAACTTAAACAGAAATTGTCTCTAATGCATTTACAGTCTTGTATTCACAAGCTATATATAGGAAATCACAAATAAACCCCTTTTAAGTTTTCTGCTGCTGTTCTGATGGATTATGTTTTCTTTTGTTTTGGATGTGAGTTAATAACTAAAATGTTAAATCTGTGGACTTCTGACATTTATTTTCTTAGTACTGCAAGAATACTACTGCCAAGTCTAGTTTCTGGATGAATATATACATGTTTCTTCGGCTGTCACACAGGCTACGAGTAAAAACGTCAAATATATAAGCAGTAGTTTTCTTGAAAGAGCAAATTTTTGTTTGTCCCTAAAAATGAATTTTTCTTTTTTTTTTTTAATTCGGTCACAATAGAAGAAATAGCTTGAAAAGGTGTTTTAACCTTTTGTGATATAGTTGAGCATCCAGAATATTACGTTCATCTTACTGCTGCTGTGGAACAGGTTCTGGATTTCATGCTGCATTAACAAAAAGTTTTTCAATTAAATGTAAGTATCCTTTGTTGCTTGTTGGAATCTACTCTGCAGACGTTATCTTGCTTATAAGACATGCATTATTTTAATCTGGTGTCAGTCCAAAATTTAAACTTGTGCTGCAAGTTCTCTCTCCCCAGTTTTTGTAGTTTGACAGCTTGCAAACTACTCTGTAATAGGATCAGAGTTAATAGTATTCTGTATCCATAGCAATGACTGTGTATCGGGCTTAGATGAGAATTTTTTCAATATACCCTGCCTTTAAATTGTTAACGAACAAAATGACTTTAAAGGTAGGCCTGTTAATTTTCTTTGTGTGTTCCTGATGGAATTCACCATAGCCTTACAGAATATCTGAGAAGGTAACTCATTATAAGAGAATTGGCATTTGCATGTTCAAGTCAGAACCTGTACAGTATATAAGGCATACAAACTTTGAATTGGATTTTAGTTAACTATGTTCAGGGGTCCAGGATGCCAAAATAAGTGTGACAGTTTGAAACATTTTTTAATTTGCTGCTTTCCCTTTGATCTAGTTGGAAGAATGTATTGTTGATTTGTATACAATACTGCCTTTGAGAGGGGCTCTGAAGTGTGGGGGCACACTTCACATATCTACTACCTGGAGAATTGCTTTGTGTCCCACCGTTTAAACAAATAATTTAAAAAAGCAAAAAGCAAAAAGTATGATGTTCTTCACTTGAACTAATCAAATACAATAGGTTATAAATTGTGTATTGTAAATAAAAGTTCACTCTGTGAGTGCACATTTTGGTAAATTATTTATTTATGTTAGCATTAAAAAGTTTAAAAAATTGCATTTAAACAGGATATAAATGAGGTATGTTGGACATGGCTTTGCTTTATACCTTGATATTAGAACTGGTGTTTCATCCTGGTATTTTAAAGCTGCTTTGAGGTTTTTTTTTTTTAAATGTAAACTAACCTCCTGCATGACAGAGGTTAAAATTTTGTCTGCACTTGAGTTCACTTGGGTTTACATTTGAAATGCGCATGTTTATTTATACAGATTTCAATAAAGCTATTCAAGGCCTTATTTAGTCTTCCATTTTCTTACAAATCCTTTTCCCGCAGTGTTTGTGTAATGGGTAGTCTTTGTCTAAGACTTACGTTATCGGTTACAAAATGGCTATTTAATGACCAACACGGAATAAGATTAATAGTATTTCCAGAAGATAGTATGTATAAAAGGGATTCTTTCCTGTCATTGTCTGGCTCTAAAAACATTTATATGGCTGCAGAAAAATTGTTTATTGTCGTAAAAATCTGTTATTTGTTTTTTTAAAAGTAATACTGTAACAATAATTAATCAAATGGAAAGATGCTAACTCTGAGACGGTTGGTAAAATGAGGCAATGTATTTAAGATTAGACAAACCGATATGGTGAGGGGAAGATGATACAAGCTTTTGGCTAAAAACCTTGTATTTAGGTGTGGAATACAGTAACACAATACAAAGCTATGTACTAAATAGCTTGTGAGTTTAACTTGCTTATTTTAATCAGAGCACTTGAGAGATGAGGTTTATCTGTGGAGTAGAGGAAGTAATCCTAGAGAAGCGATCACCTCTTTGACTAACACACACGAAGAGCCCCCCTACATTCATACTCCCACTGGTTTTCCCGTATCATGTTAGCCTAGAACTTGCTTGGAGAAACCACGAAGGAGCAGAGGATCTGGTCTGACTTACCAGAGACTCACTTTGGAGTTTGTAGATCGGAGCTGTAACATCTGGTAACTCGGTCTCCTAACGCACTTCATTCTCCCTTTGAAAATGCAGAAATACATACATATATGGGATCTTATGCTTGAAGGAATGTACTTACCTACTAATAGTTGGATCATCCAGATACAGTTTAAAAGGGTATTGATCAAAGTAACATTTAGTTTGGAAAAAAATACATAGATAGTTTCTAGGGTTTTTTTGTTACTGTCAATTTGGCTTCCAAGATTACACACTGAGTTTGTAAGCTTCCTAATCAGATATAAAAAATCAGTAACATTTCTATATGACTGTCTCGAAGGTTTCTGGGAATTCAGCCAAGTTGTGAGTTTTGTAAAACTATTATGTATTCACACATATGATAATTCATCCAGCGTGGACATGCTTAAAATTAAAACTACAGAAAGCATATTATTCTTTACGGTGTCTATCAAAAGTTACTGTCACTCAACTAGTCATTTATACAGGGAAGAAAAAGGGTCCTAACATCTCTTTTTACGAATCGTGTCTGATAATCATCTACAGTATGCTTTTTTTCTTCAGTTACATTGACAGCAAGCTTTTGATGGCTATAAGTATCAGCATAAACCCCAAAATGGTAAGATACAGTTAACCTTGTTAATGTGAGAGTCACAGAAAACAGAGTAGGAGGCAGAAGACAGCTTGCAATTCCCAGTTACCCCATGGGTTTTGTGACAGCAATAAGTCATTTAAAGCCTGGCTGGGAGGGAAGGAGAGGTGAAGAGAGAACTGCCCAGGACCTCTTGTTTTAGTCAGCTTCAGACAGCGTTCTGGATGCTTCGGTGCAGATCAGTTCCCTGATCTCTTCTATCATCCACTTAAAATTAAAGTCCTACCCGCCCTCCTGGCACACTGAAGTGAACTTTGCAACTTACAGTTGGGTTGACAGATGAGAAAAGCTGTCGGATATCGCCCTGCCAGATGATGTAGAAACATCTCCTGTGTCTACAGCTAGTTGCTAATGGGAAGGCCACAGCCCCTTCTAGCTTTCCCAGCAAGTTAGCGCTGCGTTATGGAGTGCGGTGTATTTTTTTAAGTATTTTGAAATCTTTAGAGGGAAGTCGGTATGGCAGGCAAAGAAATTAATTGGCAAACCCACCAGTTTTCTTCAAAAATTATGCTGCCTCCTTTGATGTCAGACTCTGTAATTTCAGGGTATGGTTTTTCATTGTTTCTGCGTACTAGCTACTTTGACAAAGAAAATCACTATAAATGTAGTGAAACAATTAATACGAAAACTGTATTTGATAGAATAAGCATGTTCTTAGTCTGCAGGCAAATTGCTCTCTTCAGATTTTTTAGTTCTTTTTCCTTGGGGGGTAAACAAATTCTGAAAACGGTTCCGCTTTCTTAGTTCCAACATTGCATGCTTTACTGGCACCGCATGCTCCTGAGGCAGGCAGAGAGACCTGTCTTACTGGAAAGAAATTAAATCTTGGAATAGCATGGAAACCCCAGAAGAGTCCAAATGTGACAAGTTTATGACCAATTATCCCATTAATTAGGGAATGAACTGGGTCGGTATATGCCAGGTAGCATTAACAGTCATCCTGGGCCAAATGCAAAAGCTGATACAGGACTCAAATTATAAAGAATTCCCATCAGTCAGTATCGGTTTATGAAAAGTAAGATTGGGGGGGGGGGGGGGGGAGGAAAAAAAAAAAGGGATTTTAG